ATCATGGAGCGCATGCTTCAGTTGCATGGCTATGCTAATTAATACGTTAGGCAAGGTAGCCGCCAAGGTATTTTGGTTTTCTAATCGAGCCATAATGTTTTGGATATTGTGGGTAAACATTTACTACACACCGTAATATCATCGTCTAATGAGGTTGTGAAATAGTCTCAGTAGTTCTAAATAAACCGGCCTTAAAAAATCGTGGAATTACCATCTATGCGCCAAGTTTTAATGAAATTGGTTAAAGCGAAACTGGATTCATTTGCCACCCTTAGAGGTGGAATATTTTCTTCAAATTTAAATGGGACAAACCTTTCCAACAAAAAAAAGAATCATCAAGATCGATTCACGAATCCGAAATTATCGCGTAACAAACATAAAAAAAATACAGCCGAATTGACAATCCTTTATTTTTAGGTCGGTTTAAAAAATTTATATGTATAAAAAAACAAATAATTCATTCATACAAAAGACGGATTCGACTCTGGATGGTGCAAATAAGTCGTAGGGGCTTAGGTCCTAGACAATAGATATTAATTTATATTATTAGAGATAAAAATATCGTAAAAGGATTAATAAAATGCACTGGAAAAGTGTCGCACTGGCAAATAAAGGTGGGAGTTTCTGCCACTTTAAGCTTTTGCAGTGAACATTACATTCAATGTTTACGATTATTAAACCTTTAACTGATTATATAATAAAAGATATGAAGTTTTATAAAATAAAATAATATTTTTATTGGTAATTTTGGACACCAGTGGAGGTAACCTTATACGTATTACTATAAAATCCTTAACAAATAGCTCTGTATTGAAATTGTCTTACTTAATGTCTTTTTTTACTGTGCCTTACCAGGATAGAAAAATCGGTAGGTGTAATCGTCTACAATAATATCCGTAAACTTTCATTTTACAATAACATTGTAGCCATTTTGCAAACGCGGACTCCTTATTATTTCATTTTACAAGATATTTTATGAATATTTTATGATTTTAATGAATATTGCATAATATGAAGTACTTAGATTTATTTTTTATTAAATCAGCAATGGACCCCCGTAGCAATTTAAGGCCATTCCCCCCATTGTGAGAGGAGGCCTGTGCTCTACATAGGCTAACTATTTACACACTCATTTCACGTACAAGGGTTATCAGAAAGGTCACGTCCGTTCAACAGATGAAGAGCATTTAATAGCGTAGCAGCTGATAGCATTTAGACATATGGTTTTTGACTGCCTCAGTGGCCGAATGGTTACCATGCCGGACTGCCACCCAGAGGTCCTATGTTCGATTCCCGGGCCGGGAGAATTATTTGTATGGCCTACATTTACTTCTCTCGTGACTTTGGGTGTAATTTGTGATTGTCTATGTGTGTGTCCATGGCATCCGCGACACAAGGTTACACGACACCCTAGTGCGGGCTATGTTGAATCTGTCGTTATTAATATTATATTATTATTACTATGGCTAGCGGTAGTCTGCTAATGAATAATTTGTGGTACTTTGCCATCGTCGGCATGATGCTCCAAGCATGGCACTCGCGGAAATCTTCCACCACTAAACAATTTTATTATTTCTTATATGTATACTTATGTAGTTGTGGAAGTGAAAGTGTTTATAAGTATTAGAAACTAAAATAAAAAAAATATCTTTTAGCCATCCTTATTACGGTATCCGTATATATTACGTACGTACTAATATTAATGTCAAAAACCATGCCAACAATTGCCACTACTTTATGACCCAAAAGTTACTTTAAATCTTTTCTTCAAGCCTTGTTGTACACTCAATATGTTAAAGTGAACAAAATGATAAATGAGTACACATAAAATAATTGTATGTCATTCATTACGTAGCTACCTTATACGGACACTTTTCAAATATAGATATTTTTATGATGTGGTATGCAAATGAAATAAATACTTGTATGCACATAACTTGAATTAAAAACTTTAGCTTCCCTTTAAACGTCGTTAGGAAGTTCTATAACCTGAGTATTGACATGTAATACTTCACTTATAGACTCAAATTTATGCGTCATGAAAAAGTACAGTAATCCTCTCATCCGCATCGCACCACATAATTACCAGTGAGGATTGGTAATTTCTAGCACTTAGCATAATTTCGTGCGGGCATCGTTTGCTTGTGAGAATCATATGTCCATGAGCGTTATTACAGCGACATTACCGATTTGCTTCGTCACACCCGATTGGAATCGAAAATTGACGTTACGGGTCCTTTAGCATCTACGAGTACTTACTTACGCAGCCACAAGCACTTAGTGTATTCTTATTTTCTATCTTTTTTTATGATAGCAAGTGAGGGCTTAACAAGTCGCGTGGATGGTGGTCAGCGAAACGCCTGTCCATAAGAGTTGCAGTGCCACTCAGTGCTTTAAATCACAAAGATCTGAGGGGCACTGCCACTGTGCTCGACACCCTGAGACATAAGTTGACAAGTCCCATGTGCCTTTAATGTCGCCAGCACCCTTAATCTTTTAAAAACAAAATGCAGTAATGCTCGTATTACTGCTTGGCGGCAGGAATAGGTATGGTGGCAGTACTTCCCTGGACGAACTCTTTCTTACTTTTCCCGTTTTGCTTTATAAAAGCGTTACTCTTGTAAGTACAGAACGTCCCTATCTACCGACTCGATAGATAAGGTTTTCCGGAGAGACTACGGGCTCGACGGCAAGACCAGGGTACAGCGGGCGTCCGGGCCAAGCCCTCCGCCAGTGATACGCTTTCACGGGCGTTTCTGGTGGACGAACATGAATCGGCACTAGCCCGGAGAGCTAGTAGAGGATAAGCTAGATATCCTCCGGTCCCTCCAGTCACTTAGGTTGTTGGGAACTGGAGAGACGTCGTTTTTGTGTGCGCGCGTGCCTACAGCTCCGGTACCTATCTGGAAAATAGGGAGGGTGCTGTACATGTACCCGGGGCGGCTCATCTGAGGCATTAGCCTCTCGAGAACCGGATGAAGTCAGTGACAACGGGTTGTGACAACCCTGTACACTGGCTGATTTGGGGTTAGAACCTGAACTTATAAAGTTCGGGTGCGCGCACTGTTTATAGTGCCCTTCCCGCATAACCAAGTGGTTGATAGAAAGGGTCACTATAATCAAAACTTGTGTAGAAAAGGTATGAGAACTGTCAGTATAGAACGTGTTGCTTTACCAATTACATTTATTTAATTAAGACCAATTCTACTTTAGTTAAATCGGCCTTGAAGTTTGATATTTTTTTTGCGATATTAATTTTTATTACCTGGTCTACAAGTCGATTGGAAGCACACCTCTTGATAGATCATAAGAGCTCGTCATGGATTAACTGGGGCCGCATCAACAGACGCATTGCACCGAGATTCTATCTTAATAGAGTTGTTAGAACTGCTTTATAGCTTTTCTTATCTCGCGATTTCAACTTTAAGTCTGACTATACTAGTACATTTAAAGCTATATACAACGAGCATTTACAGGTGTTAATCGTAAACATTTGTATGAAGTTGGTCTAAATATTTTTCTGAAATATTTTGTTCTATTTTGGAAAAGTGAACAATGTTGCGCGTTGCTTTTAAATTATAGGCTGCAGAAATTTATATTATGAGTTGAGTTCAATTTTTGGGGAAGGCAATTTATTATACTATATTATATACTCTTGGTGTAACAAAGTCACATATGTGATAATATCCATGGTCGATATAAGAGTAATAATTTCGCCGATGTATCGAATTTTGAAATGTCGAAAGCGATATTTTGTCGTAAGGAATATTTTCCATTACGACAAAATATTCCTTACGACATTTCTAATTTTCACCGTCGACGTAAGGTAATAATTTCGTTGATGTATCGAATTTCGAAATGTCCTAAGCGATATTTTGTAGTAAGGAACATTTTCCATTACGACAAAATATTCCTCACGACATTTTTAATGTCGTATATGTCAAGTTTTGTAACTGTGCTATTTAAGCATATAAACTTATCGACTGATTTCCTTTGTAGAATCTTTAAACCAATTCTCTTGAAAAAGTTATCATTTTACGCATGTGGCCTTATTACAACACGGGTGAGAAATATTTCGTGAAGCATTTTAAAAGCATTATAAAATATAAAAATCCTGTTACAGCTTATATTGAAATTTCAATATATACGGCTATTAGAAGGTAATTAATGCAAATTTGCGTACACTTTCCATTATGCAAATTGGACGACACCACAAATGTGAGGGAAAAATAATGACAGAAATAAAAATAAATTATGAATGTAAATTATATTGTAGGACAAGGGCCTATAAAGATATGCGTATCAGAATATTATATTTATAATAAGACAGCACGTGCTCTTGTGGGCAGAGTTTACATAATTTATGCGTTCCGATCAGATCCATCAATTGAGCATAAATGATTGATGAGCCAGCACGAATATATTCGCCATGTCTTAAATTAATGTTGGCTTATATAGAACCTGATCTTGGATCTCAGCGGGCGACTAAACTTATTACGGCGTAATCTAGTCCCAGTTATATAGAAAGGATATTACATGTGGGACAAACAGTTTCAGTCCTTGTGATTTTTTATAATGTCGCTACCTTGTTTAATGCAAGCAGCAAAGTAGATATGATACTTACGACGACTCTGTCTCAGTTTTTTACGATTATAGAACAGGTATAACGATCAGGTGATATGCAGATAGTATTGTTTTCCTGGCTTTTTTTTGTAGTATCTTGGCTTATAAAACTAGTCTCGTTTGGCCAGGTATGAGGTACATAATTTTAACGAATTTTTGCAACATAGCTGGACTGAACAAGGGGTAATAAGTTATTTCTTTATCGGCATATGATTTCAATTCAATACTGGATTATTCCTATTTTTTAACAAAGTCGTCGATCTTTCGCACATTTCAACCAGTTCACTTACATATTTTTGTATTCGGTTATTGACGAGTAGGTTGGGTTTGGTCATATACATCCTTATATTGAAAATTGAAATAAAACTTCTGACTAGTCAGGTAGTATTTATTGGCATGCAGATGGAACTGGCGAGAGCGCGTGTGAGAGGCCCGCGCAGCCGCAGTGCTGAACGGTCGAAGCGCGCACGCTGACCGTACCACGCGCACTCCTCCATCACCGTCGTGTTGCACGACTCCTGCGCAGACACGACATAATTTGAGAGAAACAGTGGGAAACGTGAAATACTAGTAAGATTTTGTATTCACAGTCATTTGACCCCTTATTAGGTGATCATGATCATGAACTAAGTGTACAACTATGATTCCACAAAGACAGGAAGTATGACAATGTTAAATAGATTTTGAACATTGGGTATTTGATGCGTAGAGAAATAAGTAGGTATGCTCTTCACACGCACTCATATTTAAAAAATTACTTTTCTAAATAGAAATTTGGTAGTGGCCTGAATATGGATTTCTGTATCCCTCGACCAGTCTTAAAGGTACACATTCTGTTCAAACATACCTTATAATGATTGAGTTGTACCTCCTCGAAGGGCGCCGGCCACCCAGCGAAAGTCATCGAACCAAGGCTATTCAGAGCGTAGTGGTTGAATGCCGACAGAACGTTCTTGGTCACCATAAGGCTTTTACTATAATAACCTAAAGGACTGACTCTTGCGGAGCTTATTGTATGCTTTGCTAGTTTAGGCATTGGCAATTCTTTTCCACAACGAGATTTATATTCTTCTTCCAAACTATTCATATTATCACTAATATCTATGACTTCATTATAATAACTATCTGAATCATCTAATAACACTATTTCTCCTAAATCTAAATTGTTCGTCCTTTTTATTCGAACATCATCTCTTTTTATATAAACTTTGCTATCACTAGGGATTTTATGTTCATATTTATCAATTCCTTGTAAAAAATCAAAGAAAAATACATTTTGTATTAAAACACCTGACTCCTCAGATGGATCATATCCCTTCTCGCTTAGGCGTTTTAGCAATTCAGGCCATGTATTTGCTATCTTAGGCAATACAATTTCATCGATGTCTAAAGGGACTATGTATTCAGATTCTCTTATATTTCTATATAAACAATCATTGTATGTTATTATGTGATCTCTCCGTCTTTGCCACAAAGATCTCTCAGGCTTATGAATAATGGGAACATGGAACAATCTCACATATCCATCATTTCTATAATGTAACAAGACATCTTCGCTCTCTTTTGTAATACTGTCTATATAAATATCGATTTTATCTACACCTAATAATTTGTTTGTTTCTATCCATTCTATAAGATTTTGTGATACATCCTTGTTGAATTTCATGTCTTTGACACAGATTGTGAATTTTCTCTCATAACGGCTTGTAGAATGACTAGGATCTATGGTGAAGGCATTGGTGGGGTCATCACAAGGTTCACTTACAATGGATACAACAGACGGTCCGTATAATGATTCCGTTCGAGGACAAGAGAGCAACAAAGGAGTAAGTACTCTCGGTGATTTATAGTCCCATTTACGCCACCACATTTCTAATGGCTTTGCAGCGACTACTTCGACTGACTCCTCATAAGGGTTCAACGAACGCGTTTGGCAGTATAATGTTACTTCAGACGGGAAATTGCGACCTGTAAACAAAGTTAATTTTTAAATGGTGGTTAGTCATGGAGTTGTTTCCATATAAAATGTGAATGCATGAATTTGTTTAAAAGTTACCGTTTCTACTAAACAAACACAAGTTACTGAAGACGGTTTCATTTGTGAAAGTCAGATGTCCATACTAAGATTAACCTATGTTAGAGCACCACGCTCTCACCCTATCACCTCTAGAGCAGATGTCAGAAAGATAGGCATAAGACAAAAAGTTAGGTGTACTTAATTAAGTAAAAAATCTGTAGAAAATCTATGTCCACTAAAGTAATTACTTTACTAGATACAGATTTTCTAAATAAAAGCGAAAATGAAAATTAATGAGTGTGGTTAAATTAGCTTTGTAGTCGTCGTTGTAGCAGTGTTATCCTAATGGTTTGACCTACGGCCTCTCAAGTTGGGGGTCGTGGGTTCGAATCCGGGTTCGAACCCATGAGTTTCTCCGAATTTATGTGCGAAATTCAATTTGAATTTTACCATGAATTTTTCGGTGAAGGAAAACATTGTGACGAAACCTGCACGTTGAAGAAGGTTCTCTACCCCCGGAAAACGTGGTAAATCCCCATCCCGCATTGGGCCAGCGTGGCGGTCTATGGCCTAAACCCTCGTCTGAAAGGAGACCCCTGCCCAGCAGTGGAACGTATAAATAGGTTGATGATGATGATGATGATGAAATTAGCTCTAAATATATTAATTTAAGTGATGCATTAGAAATATGAGAGTTATACTAGGCAATTTAAAAGTATGTTACATAAGAATAATCTAACAAAAACGAGATGAGATTCTGGCAATTGATATGATGTGAAGTTCATCAGAATAACCCGTAATCTTCGATGATTGAATTAGTATTGTATAGTGATTTATGCATTCAATTTAGAAACCTTTGAGCAATAAATTATTAATCATCATATCGAATCGATTTTATAGAATCTATCAAAATATCGATAATAAACGTATTGCCTCAGATTTCCCGGAACCGTACTAAATTATAGTCTTCAAGACAAACCGTTGTAACTAATAGCTCGCCGATTTCATATCGGGAAACGGCATTACTGGGAACGATAGTAATAATTTGTTGGGTGTTTCCTGGACAGGGACGGTCATTACAACGGTGCCTTGATTGCCTCTCTGTACAGGACAACACTTCCTACTAGAAATAAGTGGAGGCGCAAATCAAGGCCTTAAGAATGGACGACTCAATTTGTTAGAAGCTTCAACATTTTATTCGAAAATACAATCGATTTATTTTATTATTTAAACTTACGAGTCGAACAAATCATGCGCTTGGTGGTAAGCGTCACGCATGTCCAGAACAGTTGCAGTGGAACTCAGAGCTTTGAATCACAGGATCTGACGGGTACTGCCACTGCGCCCGTCACCCACAGACATAAGTTGACAAGTCTCATGTGCCTGATATTTAACCAGCGCCCTTATCATTGGCGGCAGAACTAGGTAAGGTAGCAGTACTACCTTGGACAAACTCATAAAGTAAATTTTGATCTATAGATGAAAAAAATTATATAGGTGATATTTTATTTTACTGATTAGGGTAGTTTTAGGGTGATTTTACTTTTTAATAAGATCAAGTTTTATAACAGGATTCATAAAAGAAATTATTTTGGATAATTTATATAAAAACATGAATACTGTTGTAACAATTTATATTAAAACCGCGGCCATTCTCTCCAAAATCATGAAAATTAAAACAAATATTGAAAAATACTACGTTATGTAAAAATTTAGAGCCTGTATCTAGTGATTGCCATTTCTAGACTATACAGTGTTACTTACACTTCAAAACCTTGTTAGTACAGCATAAAATTGCATGGCACCATATAAAATTTGATAAAAAGGAAGTGGAGTTTTTCTTTCGATTACAAATGGTAAGTTTAATACTCCTCTAAGGTCAACACGATGCAATTCTATGTATTTGAACATAGAAATGCATCATGGATTATTTTAGAGGATTCTGTTTCTTTCGTAGATGTTAACATATGAAGTGATAGGTAATACATGTATACTGTTATATGAGTTACGAACTTTAAATTCAAATGTGAATAATACCAATATAACTTAAATTTTTGGGTGTGGTATTATGTGGTTATTATGTAGTTATTGGTCACACAAGGTGACTTTTAGAAGCGATACAAATGCACGCTTGTGAAACACGCGATTGCATCGCGATACTAGCGACTTAGACTCGCGGAATGCGCGAGCATTCTCGAATATGCAAAAAATTCGCGGAAGATTTTGGCTCGTATCTAGTTCGTACGTTACACTATTGGGCAATAAAGTTATAGATAATATATACAATAGCATTCCAATAATTCGCTTCGAATCCGTTCCGGCGCAATGTAAATTGAGCCTTAAAACCAGCGCAAACCAGTGGACGGGAAGGCAGAGGGCATGAAATGTAGCAATGTGTATATATAACTTATTTAAATTGGAATTGAATATAACATAAATATAATGTCCTGTGCTTTGCATACATTGTATCCATAAGAAGAAGAAGAAGAAGAAGAAGAAGAAGAAGAAGAAGAAGAAGAAGACATGCAACGCGTTGAAGCGTTCATTGAGCGGACCGTCAACTCTGTCCGCTACTGTGCTCAGGAGGCTGTTAGTGCTGCCGCGCACTCGCCGCGTCAGGGAGGCTTATCGCTTTCTCATTATGGATTGGAAACCAGACCAGAATAAGTATGTACATTATTGATGCGCTGCAGTAACGCGACAGCCCCAACAGCATCCTTTATATTCGATATTGACATTTGATATTATAAAAAATATATATTTATTTATGATTAAAATTAAATTTAGCAACCCAACGCCAACGGAACGATACGAGTTTACACAAAGAAAGCTGGCGAATGGGAAGGTCGTAAGCTGAGGGTCTATGTCGAATGTCGGAAGGGACGAATGTCGGATGGAGAACGCGAATAGATCTCCAGTTGTGTTAGGCGCTGCGCAGATGGAGCAACTTAGATCATCGAATTTCGGCAACCGGCAATCCGCAACTAGCTGTTCATGACGTTTTTCATATAGTTTCAAGCAACCGCGCAGACGTAGGAACTTCAGTTGAGAGTTTCAGCAATCGACTACAGTTTTCGATTGCTGAAATCCGTGATTAAATAAATTCTTAATTGCCGCAACTAGAAACTTGCAAATTTGTCCCGGTTGTCTGCAGTTGCCACTTTCACGCCAGACTTGACCGTGAATTTCGAAAGTTTATTTAAAATTGCTACAACCGGCAACTAAGACTTTTAGTTGCTACAACAGGCAACCGTTAAAGAAATCTTGTAAAAAGTTGCCAGTTGCGTCAACTAAAGGTGCTCCATCTGTGGAGCGCCTTAATCCCACAATGTAGGTGGTTTATCTCAGCAAGGAATTTACACGGTGCAGTGTACCCACGGTGCCCGGTGACAAATGAGTGCTTGCTTATCGGTACAGTGTCGTCGTTCGTGGCCTCCACTTTCCGTTTTATAAGGCGAGAGAACATATTTAAGGGGACAAAAGATTTAAGAATTATAAAGTCCCTTTATGATGATATCGTATGTATACTTATAGCAAAGCCACATACGTCAATAGTATTTTATGTAATCGTTGCATAATGATGTTTTTAAATGCCGAGTGGCCTAAATAATAGGTACGAGATTTTGAGGCCTAATTATGTAATGATTGCATACAATACTTTTACTACGAGCGTTAAAGTAATAAAGTACATAAATTTAAAAAAGCAGCAAAAATCTTAAAAACACCATCAAACTTGATCTTGCCTAAATCTTGCAGGGTCGGTCTTGGTCTTGGTCTTGGTCTTGCTACAATTAGGTAGCTTGCAAGACCAATATTGATTTTGGGCAACACTAAAATAATTCTATTGGATCAAAACTGTAAGTTATATTTTGAGTTCTTAGGTTTTCGCGATTGTTACAAATAGGAAATGAAACTATTTTTCCGGATTTAAATCGCGTATATTTGTTTTTTCAAACAAACCAACGTTTCTAAAATAAATAATATAAAATAATTTGTAAAACAATGTAGTGTAAATTGCAATGTTTCTTTGTAAAATTAAAAATAAGGTATTTAATTAATAACTCTTGTAACTATGGTGAAAAAATAGGGTGGTTTGACATAACTGGTTGATGACTGTACCACCTCAGTCAGTCGTGACCATGGGATCTGTGAAGGGCCCGAAACGTTGGTTTGTTTCAAAAGAAACAAATATACGAGATTTGAATCCGGAAAAATAGTTTCATTTCCTATGTAAGTTATACTACACACGTTAGCTACACGTTGAATATTTAAGAATTTTTTTTTATAACATCAAGTGACAGGACGTTATAACTTCAAGTGACGGGACTTACAAGTCGTGCTCCTGATGGTAAGCTACGTGCCTGTCCGTAATAGTTGCAGTGCCACTCAGAGCTTTAAGCCGCAAATATCTGAGGAGCACTGTTACTGCGCCCGTCATCCTGAGACATTAGTTGACAAGTCCCATGTGCCTGTAATTTCTCCAGTACCCTTACCCTTCAAAACGGAACGCCGTAATGCTAATATTACTGCTTGGGGCCAGAAATAGGCAGTGGTGGCATTACTTTCCTGGACGAACTTTTTCACAAGGAGCTACTGCTACAATTGATTTGATTAATTATGACTATAGTTAGTTACCTATGTGTGCAATTTAACAGGTGAAAAAGAATAGTTATGTTTAGGAACAATGATGGGTAATTTTCAGATTTATTTTGTCTATCTAATTCCGGTGGCAATTTATTATTTAAATATTCTAGAATATTATCTTGAAATATTGTTTAATATTCTACACTCGAATTACTATTAAACCTGAAATGGTATTTAACATTTCACGACTCTCTGAAGTATCTAAACAATGAAAATTGCCACCGAAATTAGGGAGACAAAACTAACCTAAAAAAACCCAATCAGTGTTACAATATTAGTGGCACAAGTAAGATTAATTTAATTCGTT